CTGGCCTGCTGCTCTATCCCTCTGACTAGCATGTTCTCTCTCCTTCTTCCACAGTAACTCTCCCAATGACCGCCTGTCTTCCACTTGATGTCTGGCGCACCAGACCACTCTACTCATGCGCTCCCAAGCGTCGGCTACCTCCCTGTCCCTATTTTTCCCCTTGACTGCTTTTCAATGGCTGCCTTTAACACCTGCCTCTGTTTGTCTAACGGCTTCCATGCCGCATTTTTAGGGGGCGCCCATCCCCCGTCATCTATTTCCTGATCAAACTCGTGCTCCATTTCTAGGTTGCACCCGCTGTTTTGGTCTTTTATCTAACAGCCCTTTGGCCTCCGAACGTGTTCCCATTTTCCCCGTTTCAACGTTCCCGCCTGTTTCTCCTTCCTTTCCGCCTCCTCCTTGTTACCCCTATGCTCCTATTCCTTTTGCCACAATAATTTCCCCAACGACTGTCTCGCGTCCAATTTTAATCCCGCACGCCGTACCATCGTGGTTATTTCTTCTTTGCCTTCTCTCTGTTTTTCACAGGGGCCGCCTTATTCACTGTCCTCAATAACGTTTTCATTTGTTTTCCATTCCCCTTTATTTCCTGGTCCCCAGCCCCCATCATCCAATTCCCTGTCGAATTCCCCTTCCATTTGTTTTTATTTTATTTTTTTTACTCCCTCTAATAATCCCTCACACTTAAAACTCGGATTCAATAATCACAATGAATACAACAATCACGATGTTTCACACGTTTTCTCTCTCCAGACTTACACCTGTTTCCTGTTTCTTTTGACTTGTCCGGTGTATATTAGTCCGCGTATCCCACTGTCTCGGAGATCCGTCATTAATGTCAGTAACCGTGTTGTCCATCCCGAAAAAACCCCGTCTTCTTGGATCTTCGTCTGCCTGCTTGATCCTTTCCCCGCGTCCTGCCTGCCTGTCGGACAGCGCGCATAACAGTCTCTGCCATTTTCTGCCTCCCACAAATGGGGTTCAACATACGGATGGAATGTTCCTGTTTCAGTCTGCTGCATTTGTTTTAAAATTAACCCCTTTATTTTCCATGCAAGCTATATTCTCCTTTTCCTCTGTTCATTGTATGTTCTTTATAATTTTATTGAATCCCACAAGTGCAAAACTTCAACAAAACAGTAATGACATATTTCAAATAACACAAACTACATTCTTAACACAACATTTTAAACAAACATCTTGTTCAAGATAGGCACGAACTTGAACTGTTTTATTAACTGGGCTACATTTAGCCACTAATATATTACAATGTCAAAAATTATTGACTATTTACATGATTAATTATCCATCCATCCATCCATTATCTCGTGTCACGGGGGCAGCAGTCTCAGCAGGGAAACCCAGACTTCCCCCTCCCCGGCCACTTCATCCAGCTCCTCTGGGGGAATCCCGAGGCGTTCCCAGGCCAGCTGAGAGACATAGTCCCTCCAGCGTGTCCTGGGTCTTCCCCGGGGCCTCCTCCCAGTGGGACATGCCCAGAACACCTCACCAGGGAGACGT